TCCAGGAAGCTGGGGGCAGAGCACTCTGCCTCCGGCTTCCTGTAGTCAGCCCCTGGTCAGTTTCAGCAGCAACGGCTGAATCTGGAGCCAGTTCTGAGTTACGTACAAATTCAACTTAAGAACAAACCTATAGTCCCTATCTTGTACGTAACCCGCGGACTGCCTGTACTCCTGTCTCGGCCCTTCCTCCTGCCTGTTGATTCACTGCTTATAGTAGCCCAGCAGCTGATGGAGTAGGGGATGGCTCCCGACCACTGAAAGCATATAGTGAAAGAACTGTAGGTTACCTTGAACATAGTTTAAGTAGGCACCAGTAGCATTTTATCTTTATTTTTCTTGTAACTTATTTCTGATGCTTATGCTTCAATATTTGTACTTGCTTGAAATCTAACATTGTGGTTAATATACTTGTGTCCAGAAAAGTCAGTTTTAGGTGGCAAGCATATGTATATTTCCATAAAAGAGAAGAAATAATGGACTTATCTGAGATAAGGTTAGGCAGTACAGGATGTGCATGTTGGGGAGGGGGCAAGGGACAAGATCCAAGACTGTGGGTGTGTTAGGGTCACAGTGCAATGTAACCAAGGCTGTCAGAGCCAACACTCTCATGTAGATGGGAGTGATTTATAGGCTGGAGGGTTTGTGAGTAGTCCAGGCTGGAGGCTATCAGCGAAGCATTGTAGTTTAGAGGGTCGGAGCGACACAGCTACTCATTAGTCTGGATTGTATCCTGATTAGGGCTGTCAGTGAGTCTTTAAAAAAACTAATTTGCCATCTGAGAACACTTCATTAGAAATCCTAGACCTACTACTATGCAAATAAATTTGAGTATTAAGGAACTCCATAACCAAAGTATGGTGCAGTGGGCAGAGAAAGTCAGAACTTGCTAAATTGCTACAGCTCCCTTTACAACTCACCTTATACTACAAGGCTACGTCTACACTGGCCCCTTCTCCAGAAGAGGCATGCAAAGCAGGTAAGTCAGAATAGGGAAATCCGCGGGGGATTTAAATATCCCCTGTGGGATTTAAATAAACATGGCCGCCGCTTTTTTTCCGGCTTGGGGAAAAGCCGGAAAAGAGCGTCTAGACTGGCGCGATTCTCCGGAATAAAGCCCTTTTCCGGAGGATCTCTTATTCCTACTTCAAAGTTAATTCCTACCCCTTCAAAGAGGTGCGGCACTACCCCTTTGAAATGCCAAGGTGCTGCATGGGACCCTGGATTCTGGGGAAATACTGCTCAGAACCCGGGGTTAGTTGGGGAGTTCCCAGCTGCCACCAGGCTCCACAGCTCTTTGGCATTTTAAAAAGGCAGCGCCGCTGCACAGCTGATCCCCAGCTCAGCTCTGCGGTGCTGCTGCTTTGAAGTACCCCTCCTATCCCCTTTTGCTGCCTCTATCTCATAGAAATAGACTAGTTGGATAGTCGACTAGTCTTTAACATCCCTAGGTCATAGTAGACAACAAGCTAAATGAGTCAACAGTGTGACATTGTTGCAAAACAAACAAAAAACAAAAAAACCCAAAACATGATTCCAGGAGTGTTGTGAGCAAGACAACAGGAGTCATTCTTCTGCTCTACTCTGCACTGGATAGGCCTCAGTTAGAGTATTTTATCCAGTTCTGGGCAGTGGGCACCACACTTCAAGAAGGTTGTGGAAAAATTGGAAAGGGTACAGAGAAGAGCAACAAAAGTGGTTAAAGCTCTGGAAAACATAACCTATAAGGAAAGACGGAAAGAAGTGCATTGGGGCGGAGGGAGGTGTTTTGTTTTTTTTTAAGTTTGGGGAAGAGAAGACTGAGGGGACATGAGCTGTTTTCAAGTACCTGAAAGGGAGTTACAAGGAGGGAGGAAAAGTGATAAGGAGTCCTGTGGCACCTTATAGCCTAACAGATTTATTGGAGCATAAGCTTTTGTGGACAAAGACCCACTTCGTCAGATGAATCCGATGAAGTGGGTCTTTGCCCGCGAAAGCTTATGCTCCAATAAATCTATTAGGCTATAAGGTGCCACAGGACTCCTTATCACTTTTCCTCCCTCCTTGTAACTCCCTTTCAGGTACTTGAAAACAGCTCATGTCCCCTCAGTCTTCTCTTCCCCAAACTTAAAAAAAAACAAAAAAACACCTCCCTCCGCCCCAATGCACTTCTTGGTAGGTTTAGGTCGGGCATTAGGAAAAACTTCCTGTCAGGGTGGCTAAACACTGGAGTATATTGCCTAGGCAGGTTGTGGAATCTCCATCACTGAATATATTTATCAGGCATAATCTAGGTGGTTCTTGGTCCTGCTGTGAGGGCAGAGGACTGGACTTGATGACTTCTTAAGGTCCCTTCCAGTTCTAGTATTCTATGATAGTTGAGGAGCATGAAACCTCACATGGAGTGTCATCAAGTATGATAAGGGGGAAATATAAATATGTGCTGTAGCCTTGAACCATGGCAGGTATTACTGGGATTGCATAGTGTATGGTACTGGAGTTACAGTGTGCATGAGGGTTAACATATTCCAATGTGGGCATTGAGGGGGCCCCTTGTCACTACACACACTATAAATAGTGTGTGTAGTGACGGGGGGCCCCTCAATGCCCACATTAGAATATATCGTTGCAGTGACTGATTTGGGGAGATGGCAGTTTGTGTGCACAATACATACAGAGGAGATGCATCTGTGTGTGGTAGAGGCACAAGTGGCACAGTGGGTGGCAAGGGGTGTGTGCTATCTATGTGCACTGAGTGGCAATGGGTCTGGGTATGTGTAGTAAGCAGGACTGAAGGAACTGAATAGCATGGGAGAAGTAGTGGGTGGCATGGGGGGTGAGAATTGTATGTGCCAGGCAGTGTGCACACTGGATGTCACGGGTGTGTGTGCGCTGTGGGTAGCACTGGCTGGCATTGAATGGAGATGTGCACTGTAGGCTATCTATGTGCACTGAGTGGCAATGGGTCTGGGTATGTGTAGTAAGCAGGACTGAAGGAACTGAATAGCATGGGAGAAGTAGTGGGTGGCATGGGGGGTGAGAATTGTATGTGCCAGGCAGTGTGCACACTGGATGTCACGGGTGTGTGTGCGCTGTGGGTAGCACTGGCTGGCATTGAATGGAGATGTGCACTGTAGGCATTGT